GTGTGTGTGTGTGTGTGTGTGTGTGTGTGTGTGTATGTGTGTGTGTGTGTGTATTTATGAGTTCCTGCGCGTGCGACTGAGTTTGCGTATGTGTGATTATAATGACGACATTCGACACACAAAAAGTATATTGCAAAGCCAAAAAATACATATTTGAATACAAATTTGGAAATTTATAGCTTTAAAAGATGTTAAAACAAATGCAAATATTCCTAAGGAAGACACCAACATATAAATTATCAAATGGGAGAACAAGATTGATAATTGTATGTATACTATATAAAGCATACACTGCGAAAAGAAAAGCAATCTTATCGGTATATGTTTGGGTCAACATAGCCTTGCTATAATATATTTAGATATGCACGATAGATAAATATACCTAATGTCGATAGGAACAAATTATAAACCAATACAACTGGACAAGGGAAACAATTTATCGTATTCATGCTTAGATGTGGGTATCGCCATATGTACACACATAGCTCTGATTGATGTGAATGTATCCTTCTGTAAAAATAAACCAGTGTGACAACACAAATAGGTTGTAAAACTATGAGGTCATGGGTATAAGGTTGAATATGCGACACAAAACAAAGCCGGCGTCGTCACGGTACTAAGCAATAATTTGTGTATGTGTCACTGTTTAAAACAAGAACAATTGCTGATAACCGCCACTACCCTTGCACCGTGACAGAATATTGAACAAGTGACTGGTATTATGTAAGACTTACGAATTCTGCGAGTGTCGATGATGGAAAACGAGACAATGTGCCAGCATATGTCTCGATGACGGCCCCGCCTACATTCAGTTTAACAACCGTTTTAGCATTCGAAATCTGTTCGAATTTTCTTTTCAGGCTCTCCCGTGTATTCACCGTTGAGCTATCCCCGTTGCCTTTCGGATCGGCATTAGAACAGTATATCTCGTTCATATTTAACACCCGGGAACGCTCTTGAGTGGAACTCGGAACCTCGATGGTGGAAAGCAGATCGTTACAGTAAACTATTTAAATTATGATTGTTCGCAGCTGTATCACTGAAATTTTATATCAGTTGTCGCGATTTTAGTGCCTATATGTATATTGCGTGGGTTGGGTTAACAGGTTTTGGAAATCAATAAATCCCAATATCACATCATCAGATGACATCATCTGACATTATTTATATACCTCTTTACCGTGCTTCAGGACTCCACACTCCACAAAGGCGGGAGTCAAAACTGAAGCAAGAGCCAGTTCTGCAGTGAGAGGCCATTGGTCAGTCCGTAGTTATAAAGACATATACCAATAATTATCAATTTTTGAAAAACAAAAACATTAAAAGTTCAAATCATACCCATTGAGATAAATTAATTCAGTTTAGTTAACTGTAGATTTTATTGGCTACTTCTATTCTTTCCATCGCATTTGGAGCCAATCATCAGACCACAAGACAGTTTGAAGTTCGAACACTCAACAGTCAACACCCGCCACCCGGCGTAATGTATTCGGATCTTAACGAAAGCAGAAGCTTTCATATTTTTTATATATAAATAACTTGTGAAACATTACTACCCGCGGGGCGGTATGAGCTGAGCTCGATCTAATTTGTTTTATTTTTATTTTGTCATAATTTTTAGATCGTACCGAACCTCAATTTTCGAGATTTCTGTTTTTGTTTTTGTTTATTTTTATTAATAATAATAAAAATCAGTGATCAGTCTGATGAGCTCACTCGATCTCCTCATATACCACGTTGCGACATAGCTACGATGCGCTATAACAGCGCCACAAAACCTATTGTGGCTGGAATGGATATTTGCGAAGCGCTACATATGCCTATGTATGTGTGCATTATCAGCGTGTATGTATGTGTGCATTATCCGCGTGTATGAACGTGTGCGTGTATTTTGCTATGTATGTGTGCGTTATCCGCGTATATGTACGTGTGCATAATCCGCGTGTATGTACGTATGCGTGTATTCTGCTATGTACCACAGTGTGCGTGTGCTTGTATGCATGTTTGTTTACACTGTATGCGTGTATTTATTTTGATTCAGTACATCGTATGTGCGTGTGCTTGTTTGTGTACACCGTATGCGTCAATGATTTGTACTAGTTACAGTGGTGTGTATCAACGATCAACTTGTGTATCTCAAAGTCTGTTTTTAAAATCAGTAGTTGAATGATAATTTCTTTATATATATTTGTGTACTGTGGCGTAGCCTTCTGAAAATTAGACTAGGATAGTACGGTTTTACGCGCCAATTTACACCAATAGATTTCGATTTCTTAAGCGTTTATTCTATTGGCTATCACTTTCAATCTTCCTACAGGTCCGGTATACAAATCCAAATCAAACCAAAGAAACCAAAAAAAAATCATACACACACCCATCACAGCATTTATGCCCTGCGGGGAAAACAAAATAGAAGAAGAAAAAAATATTAGTAGTAAGTAGCATAGCCTCCTCAAAATAACAAAGGAGGCTATGGTAGTAGGCAATAAAAATAGTCCCTAAATAATTATGTACATACATATTCACAATATTTTTTATTCTTGATTCTCATTGGGTAATAGTGTCTCATTTCATTTATTTATTTTATATTTTAGGAATTCCTGTTCAAAAGTACGAAATTATGCCCTGAAATTATAGATTTAAAAAACAAATTCTAAAACGATTTCTTTATCATATCAGTTGTGAGCGAAGCGAGCACTTTTGATTAATTCCCGGGGGGGGGGGAGGGAGGGAGGTGAAGGAGGGGGGGAAGGGGGAAAGAAATCGCGAAATGTGGAGTCCGGTGGTGTGCGGGAGGGGGCCGATCGGCCTACGACGGCAAGGCATTTGTCGCGCACTATCTCAGATGCGTTCTACAGCTAATGTAGCTAACAGTACAAACAATGCAACAACATCATCTGTGTCTCTATCTATAGTAGTAGAAGACGATAACATAGTAGCAGATGATGAATTAGATTAGGCGCTAGTAGTAGCATCCTCTGGAACGACAGCTACACGCGTATCTAAAAACAACAGTACCATCGTCACGATACTACATGTCAACAGACCAGTGAATACTTCTTTCCAGAGATGAGCTGATTCGCTTCTTCAGGATGGTGGGGTGTTGAGAATCCACTTGCGTGGTCTCTTAGTCTGAAGTGTTTATTCTTGTTTGGCTGACGCAAAACCATAAGCTGAAGCACCAGAACGTAGTAGACGCACTTAAAGATGCTAAGCGAAATGGGATCGCGCACCCTAAGCTGGCAACTTTAGTTGACAGAGTATATCAGTCATGTACAGACTGTGATCTCAATCAGATC